ATCCAGGGGAAGTAAGCTCCAGGCAGCAAGAACACAAACCAAGGCCTTGAGGCAAACGTGTGCCTCCATGTTTCAGAAATTACAAGGAAGTCAGTGTGGTGGGAGCAGAGTGAGCAATTAGGAGAGTAATGGAAGATGAGATCAAAAGGTTTACGGGGTGCCAAATTGGACATGGCCTTTTTAGGGCGTTGTAAGGACTTTGGCTGTTAGCTGTTCGGGGATTTGAGCAGAGAAACTACACGTCTAGACTTAAGTGTGCCCAGTCACTCTGGTGGAGGAGAGCAGAAGCAGGGAGCTCAGTGAGGAGCTTGTACCAGTCGGGGTTCTGTGAAGGAAACTAGGCACTTTACACAGAAAGAGAGTCAATATAGGGATTAGGGGCTTACAAAATTGTTGGAAGGGCTGGAGGAGTAGAAGTCAGGGGTCCCCACTGGCATTGGACTTCAAGGTCACACCATGTAACTGAAACCCCGTTATCAGAAAGCAGATTCTACTCCTACAATTATTGCCATACACCCACGAAGCTGGTGGAGAGACCTTGGAAGGCACAGGGAGCCCAGAATCTGACCACCAAAACAGTCCTGTCTGTCTACCTTTGCTTGTCAGCAGCCACAGCAGCAAAAAGATGACCTCCACCTCACTTTCCACCTTCTATATTTTCTGTGTGTGATTATTATCAGGAACTGATTGCTAGACCCTAGCTGCAATGGGGTCTGGGAAATGTAGTTTTTTTTTGTTTTTTTTTTAAAGATTTTTTTATTTTTTTCCTTTTTCTCCCCAAAGCCCCCCAGTACATAGTTGTATATTCTTCGTTGTGGGTCCTTCTAGTTGTGGCATGTGGGACGCTGCCTCAGCGTGGTCTGATGAGCAATGCCATGTCCGCGCCCAGGATTCGAACCAACGAAACACTGGGCCGCCTGCAGCGGAGCGCACGAACTTAACCACTCGGCCACGGGGCCAGCCCCTGGGAAATGTAGTTTTTAACTCTCCGACCCCTCCAAGAGTGAGGAGAGCAATGAGGGAGGTTGAGAAAAACAATTTAATTATCTACAAGTGAGAAACAGTGGTGGCTTAGTCCACGGTGGTAGTGGTGCAGTGGTGAGAAGTGGCTGGGTTGAATTCAGCCTATAATTTGAAGGTAGAGACAGCAAGTTTTGCCTATGGACCAGACGTGTGCTGGGAGACAAAGAGAAAAGTCAAGGATAACTCCAAGTTTCTGAGTCTGAGCAGTAGGGAGAATGAAGCTGCAGTATCCTCAGGAGAGATCATGTTTCAGTTAGAGCAAGAAGGTGAAGAGAACATTTAGAAAGAGGACGAGGAAATGGGGCATTTTACTAACAAATGACCACGAGTTCCAGTGGGCATGGTGGATGCGTTTCAGAAGGTAAAGAAGAGAAGGCTACGGGGTTAGAGACGGGAATGTGTGGAGTCTTATGTGGATGACCTGGAAGACCTGGGCTTCAGAAACAGGGGCCAAGTGCAAAATGAGATTGGTCCTTTTGACCCCTGGGCAGGAAGTGGTGCTGAGGCTGTGAATGTTGGTGTGAGGGAGAAAGGTGAGGTCTATCAAAACCAACCGTCTGGGGCTTCCCCTTGACCCTCACTGATGGAGCCTTTTGAACCAGGATTTGTAACCAGACCTTAGGTCATCCTAACAATAAGACCCTTGTGAATATAATGCCACCTTGTTCCTAGGTAAATAAGAAACCTTATCTGTGTCTCGTGGTCCTGGGAAGCAGTGACAGTGCTAAGTACGTAAGGCGTCTCCGAATTCTCCCACCTGTCTTGGTAGGCCAGCGCTAGTGAATCCATAACATCCAGCAAGTTTTGTCGTGAAGCGGGCCAAACTCCCACAAGCATCTTCACTTAAGAACATCGCGACCCCTGGGGCCGACCCCGTAGCCGAGTGGTTAAGTTCGCACGCTCTGTTTCAGTGGCCCAGGGTTTCACTGGTTGGGATCCTGGGCGTGGACATGGCACGACTCATCAAGCCATGCTAAGGCGGCATCCCACATGCCACAACTAGAAGGACCCACAACTAAAAATATACAACTATGTACCAGGGGACTTTGGGGAGAAAAAGGAAAAATAAAATCTTTAAAAAAAAAGAATATCACAACCCCATTTCATAAAGCAGCCTCCAACTACACCCCCCACCAAACCTTGGCTATTTTTCCCCTTTGCCACCTTGATTTTCTTCTGTTTTTCCTTTGCCCTTTAAGCTTTCAGCACATACTCTCTGAAAGATAGATGTCTGTAAACCTTGCCAGAATCCTCCTGATGTTGGGCAATTGTAATAGAAACTAGTGGACGGGCTGAAGAGTCGGGATAGCCAGAGTGGTCAAGACCCCTGATGCCCGAGAGGAGCCTGAACACAGATCCTGGGCTTCGGCGATCAGGCTCTGCCATTTTTGGATGTGTTTAAGTCCAGTCATCGTTTATGGAACAGACTGAGGAGAAACCTGTCTTTCAGCCATAGGAGAGGCTCTGAAGCCCAGTGTGCTCACCCTCACCTAAGAGCCGTGTCCTAAGGGGGCTGCAGCCCCAGCAAGCAGCTGACCTGTTCTATATGTCTCGTGAGTGAACATACGATGACTTGAAAGAAAAGAAACTCGCAGAAGTGTTGTGATTGTGGAAAGGGAAAAAAAGCAAAGGGAAAAGAGACCTTTGATGAAGCCCACAAGAATGAGGTCTGCTATCTGGAAAGGAAAAATGGAAGGGTCATGGATGTTTGGCGACAGAAATTTAAAAAAAAGAGGCAATCACATACTTCTTGAACTTGTGGATTCTTGAATTGAAAAAAAATATACAAAGTATTGCACTAGTATGGAGATAACGGTTTATATCATAGTATTGCTTATAAAATGCTTCATGAGTTGCAACCTTAAAGGATGCATCAAGACCTTTCTTTCCAGGATATTAAATAAACAGTGTCCACTGAAAAGGAAAATATAAGTGCAAGAGGTATGGGATCTCATGCAGATTCAAAGCTAGGAAAAGATGTTTCTTAAATAGCAACAGCTTGACAAGGTCTAGTGGCCAATCTTATAGGCGAAGTAATATCTCCTTGTTTCAACTTGCATCTCCATTGCAATTTACATAAAATGAGCATTTAAAAATGTTCATTTTTCCCATGGGTGAGTGGCCTGTTCGTTTGTTTTTCCAATTTTTCTATTGTTTGTCTTTTTTTTTATTGATTTGTAGATGTTCTTTACATGTTATACATCTTGCAGAGAACCTTTCCCAGTCTGCTTCTGCCCTTGAAGTTTGTTGTGTCTTTTTCCATTCGGAAGTTTCACTGATCATGACTTCATTCACTTGCTGTGTAAAAGGAAAACTTTGAGTTACAGAAGCTCTTCCCCAAGAGATATCAAAACGGAATGCTTTATTTCATCACAAGTGGGTCTTTCCCTGAGGCTGATAAACAATCATGAACTTTTAATGACTCCCATGTGCCAGATGCTAACTGAAGACTCCGTCCTTAGCAAAGAACAATAGGGTTTTTTTGTAGCCAATTGTGTGCAGACCTCTGGCCTCAGTCCATCCCATCTGGAGCGTGGGTTTTCACTGCTTAAATAGCATAAGCCCCAGCTAATCCTTAGAATCCCACCACCTTTCCCTGGTTTGTCGTCTTCCCTTGTTTCTTTCCTAGTCCGTTACATAACCTCTCATTTCCTGGATTGGAAAATTGGAAAACAATAGAACTTACCTCATAGGTTATTATGAGGGCTGAACGAGTAAACATGTAAAGAGCTTAGAACAATGAATGCCTGATGCACAGTTTACACCCAGTAAATTTGAACCATATTTTCTTTACTAGGTCTAATTTATTATTTTTTTTTTATAGTTTGTACTTTTTGGTCTTAAGAAGTACTTCCCCAATCCGTAGGCCTTATTGTAAATTTTCCTCCTTTCTTCTTCCAGGAACCTCGAAGGTCCTTTTGAAGTTACATGTGCTTCATCTGATCAGTGCAATGGGAGCAGAAGCCATGTGATCCGGGATGGCGTCACCCATTCACCACACTCCCTTTTCCTGCCTTGGTAACTGTGAAAGCACGTTCTGTGACGGAGCCTCAGCGTCCTGCTTTCCTGAGTGACCGTAAGCAGAGCCCCACTGTGGCCTGAATTAGGCATGAACAAGGATAAACCTGTTTTCCTGTTTGTTTGTTTCTTTTTTCTAAGAAATATCTTCCTGCTCTGAGGTTAAAAAAAATATTCTCCTGCATTTTTTGGAATAGTTTTAGAGGTTTATTTTCACATTTAGGTCTTTAGTTTCTTTGGGATTACTTTGGCGTTTGGTGCAATGTAGGAATCCAATTCCATTTTTGTTTCATGTGGAGAACAAGTTGCCCCATGACCATTCATTGACTCTTCCCTTTTCCCCACGGATTTGTGAGGGCACCCCTGCCGTAGCCGGAGTGCCTGTGTTTGCGTGGGTCTCTTTCTGGACTCTTTATTCTCTCTGATGATCTTTTTGTCTATTATTATGCCATTTTGCTATATGGTTTTACTTATTTCATTCTCGTTTGTCTCAATAGCTGGTAGGCCAAGGGCAGGGTACTCTTCAGGATGGAGAGTGGGTAGTGAAGACTGGGTGAGTTCTGTGCCTCTTAGCCAAACTGACCCTTGGGGAGTAGAGCGCCAGGCTCTGGGCCCAGACTTCCTGGCTAACTGCACATCAGAACGTGCCTGTCCATTTCCTTGGAGATATTGAGAGGGAGTGAGAAGCAAGGAAGAGATCTGGGAGCTATTATTACAGTGGGTTGACAGGGCTTGGTAACTGCTTGGATTTCTGGTGGGGTGGTCTAGCGTGAGGGATTTATCTAAGACAGCTCTTGTATTTCTGGCTCAATCGATCAGGACTGCATGGACATCCTTGAGAAGGATAATACAGGAACTTTCTCAACTATGAAAATGCCAGCATCAAATCTAATGCCCTGGGAGAATTTTTGGAGCAAGTGATACAACCCATAGAAATATCTAGCCATGGAAAAGCAACGTGTGATTACAAACGGTTCATTTTTTTAGATTATAACATCACAATTAAATTGCATTTTTAAGACTGTTACTGCTGACAGTGCATAAAAATATGGCTTTTTAATCATAGCAAAGTGTCAAGAAGAACAGGGACTTATCTCAGGCAGTAAATTTGAAGACAGAGCATCCTTTTGCAGACAGACCCAGTAGCTCCCTCAGATGTCTTGGAAGACATGAGCGCTAATGGAGGTCACCCAAATGATCTATGTTGCACCCTTCCCAACACTGCCAGTGCTGGCAAGCCATTAAGCTCCCTTCCCTTTTGCCTCCCTCTGACACCCCTCTTCACAAACCCCACGCAGAACCAGGCACCAGGCAGGGGTGGTTACAGCTCCACAGGGAGGAGCAGCGAGGCGAGGAGGCCAGGAAGCAGCAGAAGGAACTCAGGGCTTCCTCTCCTTCCTGCGGACAGGAGGGGAGAAGAGAAGGAAAGGTTTCTCCATGGAGTTTCTCAAGACATGGCCCTCCCAAACATTTCAAGCTTCGCCTTAGGGACAAAACCCAAAAGAGTGGGCTCTGGGGGCTCCCTGTACCTGGCCAGAGTTGGACCCTGCACTGCTCAGGAATACCAGAGAGAGAGGGCTGTGAGGACATCGCCTTTCGCTCTCTGAATTTAAGTCACCTGGCTGACTGAGCTCTCAGGCTTCAGGAGCCCTTCAGTCCCTTCCAGAGAGACCTCCCAGGCCCCTGTGCTCCAAGCTACAGGTGCCTCGGTAAGACAGGCCTTCCCTACGTGGGGCCTGTAGCTCCCTGGCCATCCTGGGAGCCCCTCCGTGCTTGTCTTTCTCCACCCAGGAAGATGTTTCTAGGTCCTGACCTCATGGAAGTTCATCTTTTGCAGCAACACATATACTCCTTTCTCCACTAACTAGTGTTAACTGGAGGTCTGACTCTTGGGGGAGTCTTTTCTCACCTGGGGTCCTCAGCCTGCCTGAGTCTGGATGAACGTCAACCGCTGGGCTGGAGATGGAGGGCCACAGCTCTCCTCGCCTGGACTGTCCACCTGGCTACCCTGTGTTCATCAGACTCGATCCAAATTCAAAGTTCCTTCCTGTCAAATCTGAGTCCCCCTGTCATCACTCTCTGTGGTCCTCTTTCTACACCAAACATTTCTCTGGTTTCCAGCACCCTTTGGAAGCATAAAGACTAATTTGGTTGAAACCTACTGGATGTTCAGTTCCCCCACAACTCAGATCCCTTTCTGGCATCTCAACAAAGCTTAATCTTCTTCAACAACATGTACGGGAGCCCTGATTCAAGCCAGGCATTAACGACAGACCCCGAGTGCAGATGGAACAGGGAGACGATGTCTCTGGGATTAAAGAGCTCACCAGACTGTAAACAAATGATTATCACAGAGATGGTGAGGGTATGGCTGAGACGTGGGTAAGGTTCTCCCTGGGAAAAAAGACAGTATTTGTTAAGCAATGTCTATGTGCCAGGCAATAAGTTATGAACTCCTCTTCTTTAGTCTCACAGAAATACTACTGAGGTATTTATTATTTGTATCCTTATTTTGTGAAGGAGGCAAATGAGATATAGATTGTTCAGACAATTAGTCACAGAGCCAGTAGCGATAGAGCCTGGATTACCACTGAGGTGGTCTGACCCCAAACCAGTGACACAGAGTATGGTATGACGTTTAACTGCCTAAAAGTATCAAGGAAGGCTTAGCATTGAAGTGATATTTGAGCTAGGTCTTGAAAGACAATTCCTGTACTAAATTGATCGTGTCTTAGATTGGATGAATGCGACATGAAGTCAAAGAGACTTCAGGCTAGAAGGAACGATGGGTGTAAATGCATGGAAACCTGAAAGCCAGGACACCTTGGGAATGGTTGGGTAAAGCGGAGGTTGCTCCTGATGGAACCTCTCACCCATCATGTGGCTGGAGAGGTAATAGCTTTTCTTGATGCTCTCCATTACTATTTCCAACCATTACTGACTGATATGCCTTCACTGAGGTTTGTGTGCTCCGCTTTTACCACCTCTAACCTTCGTCAGGCCAGGCGTCATCCCTGCGCATGTGGTTTACTATGTGGGCCACGCCGCAAAACCTTGCAGTTCTTTGATCTCCTCAGCTCCAATACTATTCACCTGCTCTTCAATCTAGCCAACCACTTCTATGGAAATGTCCTCCAACCAACTCAGAACTTACAAACCGGCCACACTGGAAATCTCAAGGTCCACTGTCCTGTTTTCTCACCACACCCCTCAGTCTGCCCAGCTTTCGCCCTTTCTCCTAGAACACCTCATCGCCAACACCAGTTCCCAACCTCCCCTGACCTCCACGGCCACCTCCTGACTTCAGGCACCTGGATATTTGCTGGGATTACTGCAGCGGCCACGCCATTCTGCCTAGAACCGGGTCTCCTGACTCCCCTGACCCTTTCTACTGCCACACATTCTGGTATATTCCATGACTCGTGTTCTCTGGTGCTCAGGAGATCTTTCTGACATTTCTGCACAGCAGGGAGCTTGGGCGCTTGGCGGGACTAGAAACTGCCTGAGCTGCTCTGTATTCCAGGATCTCAGCCCTGTCTTTTGAGGAACCTAATGCTCTTCAGCAGTTGGTTGAAGGCCCCATCGTTCTCTGCCCTGGTGGCTTCTGGTAGCGGAGCAACCCACCTTCTAGTTCATCATGGCCACACCACTCCCACCTGGAACACGGTCCCAGACTCACCTGACCTGGCGAAGTTGTTGTCTCCCACTCTTGTATTGCCAGTGGAAATATGGAAGCAGTTGAAGGTACTCTTCATTTTTTTTGGACTTTCAAGTAAAATTTCATTCCTTTTTTCATTTGTGCCTTGTACGGTGACTTTCTGATACACCTCATACCCTGGAATTAGCACCTCCTTTTCATGTGGTTTCGTAGAGAATGCTTGAATATCAACACCCGAGCAGGTTCTGATGGTAAACAGTGTCCCACCTGCTCCAAGATAGTCTCTCGTAGCTACAGTTCTATCCAAAGATGATGAGGTAAATTGCCCAAAACGTACACTTCCTCTCTTACTGTGATAAAACTTGGTCTTAGAACCTCTATAAACAGTGTAACACTCCGTTGTAGAGAGAAGCTGAAGTGCTCTTGTCAAATAATAATGGAAGGCTTTGAAGTGAAAGTTAAGTGAATTTTGACGGAATTCTCTTACAGCTCTGTTAAATTCTACTGCAATGTCCCCCGTATAGGCCACTAGAGCTGTTCCGTGGAAATCATTGAATTGTTTTGGATAGTTTATTCTCTTCTTCATGTTTTGCTTCCAGTATTCTTCTGCCTTTTCCCATTCACTCCTTAAAAGTCCATTCATTCGCATTTCTTCTTTTAACAGCTGGGGTGCCTTTTTCTCCATTTCTTTAGTACAGCCCTCATACTGATCATCAAATGCATTGTCAGCCATGTCCAGCTGAGATGACTGGGTTGACAATATCCAGCTGGTCACCTGCAAAGAAAGAGTAGTGTCCCTTGATCCATTCACTGAGGAAACAGCATGAACTGAATGCCGCCCAGAGCCCACAGCATGGACCTCTTACTCAGCATGAAATCTGACATGTTCCTGTCATAAGACTCATGTGTGGTACATGTATGAAGACAGTCTTATTATACTATAAGTAGTGTAAGAAGAAAAAGCTAGGCTTTGTGACTCAGTTTTCTTTCCTGATATTATTTTAAAAAATCTTTTCAGATTCACGATCTCTAAATGGCTTTGACCACAGACTCAGCTGTGGGAGCTCCATTGTTGCAAAGACGCAAGGGGAGAGCAAGGTCAGTAGGATTGAGTTGGGAGTGGATGGTATATATTACCTGTTGTATCCTCCACGGAGTTAGGATCAAAAACTGAACTGCTATGGCTAGAAGAGATGTCATCTCCAAGTTCAAAAATAACTGCAAATAAATATAAGATAATGAAAGGGAGGTGTGAACATTCATGTCATCGTGAGCATGCGGATGCCTCCACTGTGCCTGAATGAATCCCTAATTGGAATCTGGAAGTCCAGGCTCCTTCCTGAACAGCGAACCAGCATTGCCTGTAACCAGCTCTGCCTGGGTCCTGCACACAGGGACGAGGTGAATGTGACCTCTGGCCCCCAGTAGGGAGCTGGTAGAGAAAAGAATCTTGGTAACAGGCAGAGCTGCATGTCACACAGAGTGCCAGTGAGAGTAGATCACATTTTAGCAGACCTTTCAGAGGGCTTACCATTGTACTTCCCCTTAGAGAAATACTGTGTCTTTTCATGAATGCTTTAAAAAAAATTCCTCTGGGGCCGGCCCTGTGGCATAGTGGTTAAGTTTGGCACACTCTGCTTTGGCAGCCTGGGTTTGCAGGTTTGGATCCCATGCAGACCTACACCAGTCCTCAACCATACTGTGGCAGTGACCCACATACAAACTAGAGGGAGACTGGAACAGATGTTAGCTCAGGGACAATCTTCCTCAACAACAAAAATAAAAAATTCTTTTCAAAGTTTCTTTAACCTGGGCTCAAACTGAAGTCAATACTTCAAAATATCTCTTGACATTGTCAACTTCTACCACGATCCAGGAGAGCTAACATGCACGGCCGCTTTGGGGATTTCTTGGTTGGAAGGAGAAGTAGAAGCTGGTGTGTGCACGGAGTTGGGAGGGAAGTGAGGAAATTAAGTATATTCCTGTTCTGGCCTGAAGCTCTAGGCTTGACTAACCATAGAAAGAGGGAGAGCCCTTCTGCACAAAGGACTTTGTGAGACACAGGCACCAACAGTGCTGCCTCCAGGGCCTGGGTGATAAATTGCACAATCTAAGATTAAGTTTTCAAATTTCAAGAGGGATGGATCAACTGCATGTCTTTCCTTCAAGACGTTTTCCGTTTTGCCAGATCTGACCTCACTTCCCTACCTGGAATACTTCTTGCACAGAACTGACCTCGTGTCACATCACCCCTTGACACATTGCCCTTACTGCTGCAATCACCCCAATCTTCAGACCTTCTCCCAGCCCCATCCTAACACCAGTCTCTCCTCGGGGGACCTTCCCAGGTTCCTTACATTCAGAGCCCCTTCCCTTCAGAGGACAGAGCTCGGGGTTGTCAGGTACCTGACTTCCTGTGGATCCTCAGTGGTTCGGTCCCGGTGCCTTTCGAGGAGGCAGTGCTCCGGCCCTTTTATCTTGGAGGAAGCTATGCTTTCAGTTTCAGGTAAGATTTGAAAGAGAGGTAGGACAGTTTACGAATTAGTCAATCTGTAGTTGACTCTCCCACCCCTCCTCTTCCTGTCCCGAGAAGAGAGACAGGACCTTTGTGTGTGTCCCCCGTGAGATTGGTGTGTGTATCTTGCGGCTGGCGGGTAGATCCTGCAAAAGGCAGGGGTTGCTGCTAGATCTTTTCTCCATATATTTGATTTTACAGACTATTGGAGCCATTTGGGGGGATTATGTGAAGGGGAAGGGTGGAGAGGCAAGTGCTTCCAAGGATCATTTTTCATCCTTACTCACTCCTTAGAATGAGTCCAATACCTGGCTACAATTTGCTAGTAAGCTGTCTAAAGCATAATAAAACTTGACTTTTGTACACAAATTCTTTTGGGAACCATCCAGCTTCTCTTGTTTCTAGATCCTAGTAATGACTTAGTTGGTTTCCTGGGTAACTGGACTCGGCCACTAGGTAACTTTTTAGATAGCAAACACGACAACAGACCAGGCTGCCAGAAATCTAGAACCTCCTCTTGTCATATCTAGAAAAGGAACTCCACCAAAACAGTATTTGGGGACCTTTTGTGACTTAGCTTTTGTAACTGAACTTTCACAGAAATAGAGCTGGGAAGAGAAGTAGAGCGTAGTCCCTTGTACTGGTGTGTATTTGTAGCAATATCATTTTCACAGATCTTACAAGTAAGAAAGCCAACTTTTCTTTTACTCTAGATCTACTTAATAATCTTGGTGCTACAAATTTAAATGCCCGGTGCTGACCTATTCTTCATGAGTGGTGTCGGGGACTGGAATTGGCCACCCCAAGATATGTCTCTTTGGCATGAGGATCGTTTGGGGCTGGTTACTTTCAATAAACTGCAGACAGGAAGGCAACACTGAGGGGTGGAGTTTGCTTGCCCTTTGTTGGGAAACATTTACATTGTAAAGGAAATCTCCATCTGTAAAGGTGTCTCCCTCTCTGTACCAGGAAGGAGGGATGACCTTATCTCTAGAAACTCTTATCAATGCAGAAGGCAAGGACTTAAATCTGCATAATAATCTTATTCCTGTTTACTGTGCTTGTCTGGTAACCTCCTGTAACTGACTCCCCCCACCCCCAACACCTTCCTTTGTCTTTAGCTGAAGATGATATTTAAGGTGGTGGCTTCAGCCATTTTGGTGAGTTGCTCAGCTTTCCTGAGCCTCTCCCATGTATACATGTTATAAAGTTTTGTTTAATTTTCTCCTGTTAGTCTGTCTCATGTGAATTTAATTCGTTCTCCAGCCAGAAGAACCCACAGTGGGTAGAGGACATGTCTTCCTCCCCTACAGTAGCACCAAAATGTTACAAAACTATTCTATAATCCCAAAGGGGTATTTTAGACAAAAACATACCATTTGGTGGCCCTAATGATTGGTATTGAATTAAAGGAACAAAAGTCTACTGGCTATGTAAAGGAGGAAAAAAATGCAAGTCCAGGCATTAGTAAGGAAAGATTTTGTTAAAGGGGACAATTGCAATAAGGAGATGCCCAAAGTCTAAGCCAGACTGTCCCAGAGACGGGGTGGGCAAGCAAAACTTTTGTATATGGAAAAGGGGATTGGTGACTATGGAAAGAGGAAGAAGGGTGCTAAAAACAATGCTAGTGCGGGGGGAAGGGAGAGGGTGCCAATGTTACAGGTGGCCAGGCATGTGAGACGGGATGTGGGCCTGAGATGAAGCAGACATGTTACAGTGCAGGAAGTTCATATTGAATTCAGGACCTGGCCTAAAGTTAAGTCAAGCACAAAGTGTGATCAGCCTTGTCAGTCCATTCTCTTGTTCAAGACAGGCTGAGAGAGGCTATCCTTAACAACTCAGGGAAAAAAGACATTTGAAGTGGGGGATGGTGAGTGAATTAGTCCTCAGAGTTTTCTTGGTGATGTTGCTCCTAGAGGACCCGTTGAACCATCCGTCGGGAGTTCTGACAAAAGTCAGTTGTTTCAACATCCTACAGATCAGGCAGCTGAGAGTGGGGTGCCTAAAATGAAAAAGAGGGATATCAATATAAAAGGTCATATTAAAGTAAAAGCCAGGAATTGAATCCTGAGGGTATTCCGTCCAGTGGATTCCAATAGATAGTGGGTGAAAATCTTTTGATTACGCAGCACTGCTTGTTTCTTGAAGCTAGGATGTGGATGCTCTTGGTGATGCCATCCACAGTCTTGGTTATCTTTTGTATAAGGGCCTGCGTGACCCAGGCATTTTGCCAGACTTCCTTAGCAGCCCAGACATCATCTTGTCCAGGTTTTCACATTTCCCCTCTTGAACTCTCTCTGTCACTCACTTCTTTTCCAGGGATTTCACTCCCAAATAAACTTATATATAAACCTGACTAACAAATGCAGTAGGATATATTGGAGTATATGAGGAAGCCATTCCGTATAAACCTAATTGGGCCTGACCTTGTTTTTCCAAAAGGGCCTGACGTGGCTGTTGAGCATGCATTTTATATCTGCTTTAAGCATTTGCTATGTCCCCAAAACAAGAACAAATGGCCTTGAGATAAAGACGCAACTTCCCCCACATTAGCCTTTCCTTAAGGATAAGCATCCCTCCCTAGGCTAGGAACTGACTGCTGAGCTCACCTGTGACCACCCAGCTCGAGACAGCAGACCAGCCATCCTGCTGTGTCCCCCAAGACAGCTGATCTACTACCTGTTGTGTCCGTCAATCACTGTGCTGTGCTGACAGGGCGATGTAGTGACTACTATAAAAGGGACTTGTCAATCACATGTGAAACATTCTCTTCGAAGGTGTGTAATCACTCTGTACATCCCCCTTCTTTGGTGCCCTCCCTTCCTGTGGGAAGGAAGGCCCTGGGCTAAGCTAGTCCTCAGATCTGGCTCAGAATAAATTCACCCCAATTTTCATTTATAGATTGGTTATGGATTATTTTCATTGACAAAACTTTGCTTCAAGTTCTGCTTTCAGAGAACCCAGGCTAGACAATTCACTTATTTCATTTAAGCATATTCTCAAACAATTTTCTAATAGAGGAGGTGTGAGAGATGCAATTCCTTGCATGTCTGAAAATGCTTCTCTTCTACTCCACACTTGATTTTGTTTGGCTGGATGTAAAATTGTGGGTTAAAAGTAATTTCCCCTCAGCTTCGAAGGAACTATGTAGTTTTCTTTTCTTTTCCCGTAATCTTAACAAATGTTCTGAATCTGAAACCAACCTGATTTGCATCCTTTGCAGGGCGTCTTTTTCCCCTTCTCTCCCTCCCCTCTAGATGCTTTGAGAAGCTTCTCTTTATTCTTAGGTTTCTGCAACTTCATAATGATATGTCTAGATATGGGTCTTTTAATTTCTTGTTCTGGAAAATTGGTGGACCCTTTTAATCTGGAGACGTGATCTTTAACATCCAAGAAAATCTCTCATCTTTATTCTTTAATGTTTTCTTGCCCTTGGTTTTCTCTTTTAAGAAGTCTTTTTTTTCATTAGAAGTTGTACCTCCTAGATTAATCTTCTATTTCTTTTTCTTTCTTTCTTTGAGGAAGATTAGCCTTGAGCTGACGTTTGCCACCAATCCTCCTCTTTTTGCTGAGGAAGACTGGCCCTGAGCTAACGTCCATGCCCATCTTCCTCTACTTTATATGTGGTACACCTGCCACAGCATGGCCTGATAAGCGGTGCGTAGGTCCACGGCTGGGATCCAAACCAGCGAACCCTGAGCCACCAAAGCGGAACAAGCGAACTTAACCACTGCACCACCAGGCCAGCCCTAATCTTCTATTTCTCTTATCCTTCTCTCATATGTTATGATTCCTTGTCTTTGTTCTACCTCCTGAGATTCATATGAATTTGTCTTCTACTCTTGCATTGAACTCATTAAAAATTTGGCAAGTATTTTTATATCCAATAGGTCATTGTTGGCTTCTGATGGGGTTCCTTTTTTTTTTTTTTAATAGCATCCTGTTATTATCTTATCTTGATCATTCTCTTTTATCTTGCAGGCTTTTTTTCAGATGTCTGGTTATCTTTGTCATCTGTTTGTATTTAAGAATAAGACCACAAAAACCTGATCTGGGAGCTTTGGGTACATGCACTGGGTTTATTTATTTGCATTTTACTTTGATGTGGCCAAATGCAAACATCTCTTCCCTAGGGTCAATACATGTTAATGGCTATTCTTGGTCCTGGCTCAGACGCGTGGGCCTCAACTTCCCTGTCCCAGAGACAGCTAGAGGAGGTGGATTGGGCCAAAGGTGACTTCTTCAAATGGGATAGAGGTAATGTTAGGCCTAGCACGTGACCAGGACTCAGATGTTTTGCGGTTCCTTTTCACCACCCTCCACTCCCACTACTCTTACCCATTGAAGAAGAATCTTTATCTCTGGTCTTGCTCTCTCAAAGCTATTCCATCAGAAGAGAGTGGCTTATCAATCTTTGGCTTATTTCTCCCAATACCTAGTTTCAGGGATAAGGGTCTATCATTAGCTGAATGAACACAATCACAGACAAAAGTTTAGGAAATGTTCTCTATCTTCTCTAATTCCTAGCTTTGCCTAGGAGGGGCCCTCTCCAGTATTTTGCTCATCACATGGTTGATGCTCCATAAGTGTTCTTTTGTCAATGACTATTGGGCTGGAGATGCTTAATTCATCCATCTTAATGGTCAAGATTCATCCTAGAGACTGGAGTTGTACTTCTTATGCAGACAACATTACGCAAACAATAGAGAGATTGTATTTATAGAGGTTGAGAAGTAGGTAGAACCTCTTGCTGAGTATTTGGAAGATCGAAAAGACAGTTACTAGAAACCCCGCAGACTTCTCTCTGTTCTTGGTTCTGAAATGATAGAGTAAATAAATCCACAAAATGTTTATAGAGCCTTATTTATAAAAGTCAAAAAAATCGGGAACAGCATGAATGTCTAAAGCTAGAGGAATAGTTAGTGGATAAATATTATGTAGTCTCTAAAATGTTGCCTATGCAAAAAACTATATGCTTATACAGAGAAATAAAGACTAAAAAGAAGCATAAGGAAG